AGTTAGAAAACTGGTTATGACTTAGAAAACCACTTTAAACTGGTTCTTTAGTGAAACAGAAGGCTTACCATCCTATGAAGTTTTGGTTTCAGTTCTGCCCAAATTAGCAAAAGAAGACAGAGAGAGATTTGTGGGACTGTATCTAAGCTTAGGATCAATTTCTCCCATGCCAAACATTATTTGTTAAAACCAGGTGCTCCATTCTCTATTTTTAGTAGTAGAGTCTCTTTACCCTCAACACTTTGCTATTGCTAAGGATAAGGTTAGTTTCAGTGTAACTTGAAGGGGCTTTGCTGGTTTTTTTCCTCATTAAAAGGTTTTGTTTACAGCACTTTTCTTCGTAAATGCATTTCTGTGGTAATACCCAGTAACGTGTTTCTGTCTACTGACCAGGTAGACTAGATTATATTACTGAAGCAAGCTACATTTTTCAGTTTCACGTATCTTAGTTCTATGTCCCTCCTATAATCTACCACTTGTTTCCCTTTGCATTTTATCATTTCCCAAATTAATTACACTAAATTTTAGGTGGACTGAAAGTTGATATGCTGAAGGGTGTTTCAGACCTCCAAAACATATCTTAACAAAGCAAAACAAATTATTTCTTTAACATTAATGCTCCAAAGAAGAATAGACAAGTGCTTTATTTAATGAATTTGTTTGAAAAATCTGAATTTCCTTTAGTCTTTCTTCCTCATTCCCTCAAAAACTCACATTTTAATATCACACCACTGAACAGACTGGCTTCTTTTTCAGTCATTGTTCAGATACATTCTAGTCTCATGTCAGTGAACTCATTTTCACAGACTAAGCAAATTTGAAAGCTCAATATTAACCTCATTGCACGTTTATGGTATTCTAGTCTGTGGTGCACATTTAAACACAATGCACTTTTATTAATGGAAAACCTGAACCATGCACTGAAAAATATACATAAAGATTAGGCTCGCTCCAAAATAGGCTCCTGCTCCACTACTTCTCATTTTATTATATTTCAGGAACCAAGAAACAATTGAATTGAACTTAAACAGTATTTTCCAGTAATAAAAAATATTTAATCTCTGAATTAATTTTTCTTCCACTCTAAAATATGAACATTTAAATTTATTTTCCAGAAAATATGAAACATTGGTCTAAAACTCGTAAGAATTCTGTTTAGAATTTACCTAACCCACTTATGGATATGTGCTGATTTTCCTTTTAGTCCTAGTTCTACACCTGATTAAATAAAAACCACATAGCTAAATTGGTGGGTTATGTGTATTCAGATCTAGAATAGCAACTTCTCCATTTCTCTGTTTCTGGGTTTTTATAGAATAAAATATGTAAAGATTTTATGATTCCCTGAGAATGGCACTATGTAAAATGTAAGGTATTATTACTCTGAGCAGTGCTGTTTAAGACTTCGGAGTTCTTTCTTTCTTTCCTAATAGAAATTATGGGTTCTGTTTCCAAAAACAGCCTATACACACAAAATATTGCACTGAATTTTAGGGGAGTTAGTGACCCTCCTGGAGACTTCCCATAGTCAAACTCCAGGTTACAAAACTCTGTTCTGGAAGGAAAGTTACTTCACCTTTACTAGGCAGGTACTGTTTACAACGTGCCATGAAAGATTTAAAGTAGCATTATTTACACTATAATGTGAGTTAATAACTTAACAGAGCCTGCCTGAATAATGGGACAATAGTGCACACATGGAGCTTCCAAATGGTTAACTTATCTGGTGACTTTCTCAATGTGGAGCCAGAATTCGACCCAGCAAAGTAGTACCTGAAATATGGTTTAGTTGGTGTCAAGTTGTTCATTTGACAAATATTTACGGAGCTCCTACTTTGTACTAGGAATTGTGTGGGCAATGAAGCTTGTGAAAAGTTTACACTTTGAGGGTATGAAAACTTACATGGGGTATATGCAAACATGTAAGGAAGCAATAGTGACACTAGATGATAGGTATTATGATAGATGTAAGTAAAGGTAACTAATAGACTATAGAGGGCATCTGGAAGGGCAAAAGGCGGCTTTCTAGGTGAAATAATGAATAGGCCAATGCTGAAGATGAATAGGAATGAACCTATAGGTATTAAACATGCTTGAAAAGCCAGCATTCAATAAGCCTCCTCACAAAAAATTGCAGTTCTCTTTCACTTTCTGTTCCCCAGTCAACCTCTTCCAGTGATACATGCAGATTCTTTAATGTGTTTACCTATTTATATTAAAACAACATGCTTAATCTACTATTTTAAAGTTTTTGCATTTAGGCATTATCTTTTGCTATCCCACTATGGTCAATGAGCATTTTGCTTTCTTTAATTAGCTTACCATTCCAGCTCTTGCTCCTGGCCTTGGCACATACACAGGCATGCACAGGCACACACAAGCTTACTTTCCATACCACCTCTCACCTTCCCAATATATGTGTTTATATTGTATTCATATTATTTTCACTATGCAGTTGCAATTATGTACTAAGATATAATAGCTTGACCTTAGACATTTTTTGTCAATATTTCTGATTTGTTTTTATAGTTTTCTCTGTACTTATCATTAATTCAACCCTAAATTATACCCTAGATATGTGAATTTACTCTGAAGGTGCTCAACACATTAGTTACTCTTACCAGTTTTTCACCTTCTTGAAGAACTCCATCCCTGAACCTTCTGACCTACCACAATTTGGACTGGTGGCTGTCTAGGCCTGCAGTCCAGCTGTCTTGTTCAGAACTCCCTGAACAACCTACTTGAAATTCCCTTTCTTTCTTGATTTGAATTCCCTATTTTTAATTTATCAAGTGAATGATAAAGTATCATCTGAGAAGTAATTCTAGAAGGTAAACCATTCTCCTGATTTTTTTTATGGCCTTATTTTCCTAGGATACGTTTTCCAATAGTTTCTTTAAGAAAGGATAAAGAGGAGGCAGTATTTTGAGACATTGCATATAGTACTCTCTATTAGATCTTTTTCTCAGTTTTCAGATCACCGATTCCTTGTCTTCTTGCTTCCAGTGTAGCCATTCAAAAGACTGTTGCTTTTCTAATCTTGGCCCTTTCTTTTTTCCTTGCTGAAAGTCTATACATTCCTCTTTTTGTGTCTGAAGTTCTGATTTTTAAAAATCATGTGCCTTGCTGTGTACCCATTCTTTATCCATTGTTCTCAGCACAGTGGCTCTACCTGGAAATATGTTCAATTCTAGAAAATTTTGTCACTTTTTTTCCCACACTCTTTTACTATTTGTTCTACTTTTTCTGTTTCCAATCTCTAAAATGCCTACTATTCAGATATTGAATCCCCTTCAATATATTAGTTGCTAGGGCTTCCATAAAAAAATACTACAGATTTGGTGGCTTAAATAGAAATTTATTTTCTTACTGTTCTGAGGCTGGAAGTCTCCTGAGGCCTCTCCTCTCAGCTTGCAGATGGCTGCCTTCGTGTCCTCGTGTCTTTCCTCTTTGCTCTTGCATCCCTGTCTCTTTGTGTGCTGAAATTAGCTCTTACAAGACACCAGTCAGATTGGATTAGGGCCCACCCTAATGGCCTCATCTTAACTTAATCTGTTCTTTAAAGACGCTATTTCCAACTATAGTCCTATTCTAGGGTACTAGGGTTAGAGCTTCAACATATGAAATTGGGGTGAGGGACACAATTTAGCACATAGCACTCAACTTGTTCAATTTGGATCTCTTATTCCCCATTACTTGGTCTTTGGGCTCTACTTTTTGGGAGAGTCCTTGACCTTTAATCTTCTAACTTTCCTATTAACTTTTAATTTCTAATGTCACACTTTAAATTACTAGAGCTTTATGTTTTCATAATACTTCTTGAGAAGGCAGTTTTTGTTTTTAGGGATGCAAGTCTCTTGTTAGTAACATTATAGCTGGGTTCTTTCCCCTACCTTTTCTTCTGTTTACATAATGTTTTCTCCAAAAGTATTCTATCTTTAACATCAACTGCTTCCCTTAATTGTCTGACAGTCCACAGGACACTTAAAAGTTGATGAAAAACTCCATACTCAGGGATGAGCCTTGTCCATAAGCTTCATGGTGAAATGATTCCCAACTTTGGCTGTTTACTACAATCACTTGTAAAATTCAGAAAACTTCAGATGTCCAGATTTTATGCCAGACAAATTGAATCAAATTCTCTGGGAGTGGAGACCAGGTAATAAAATATTTTAAAACTTCCCAAGTGATTCTGATGCACAGTGAGGGTTGAAAATCACTGTTATTGAGTGACTTGATGGACCAATTGGACTCCCAGTGTGAAATCTTATTTTCTTTCCTCCAGAAAACTGGAGATTGTAAGCTTGGCTTCCAGAGTTCTGGGAACTGACTGTGATGTGTTGGGGTAAGATGAGGTTGGAGCTCACATTTCAGTCTGTAAACTTTCATTTAATACTTCTCCATATGGTGTCCCTGCCCAGCTTTTTATCTTTTCCTAGAGACACTGTTTTGTCTTCTCTAGAGAATAAACAATATTCTGCTGGATTACAAAAGGGACATCCACCAAACTGTGTGGGATGGCTAGTGCTTAATAAACCAACTGTTTAATATGTTTTCACATCCCTTCCTCCAATTCTAGAGGTATCTGACTTCAATTACCAAGTCATTCAGAGTTCTGTGGTAAGTTTTTACCACATAAATGAGTAGAAAAGGCTTCTTGACTCATGTCTGTTATCTCATTCTTCAGAGCCTCTTCTTACAGCTTTGGTTTTTCTAGCCCAGTCTCAGGGTAATCAAACTTTTTATATGGCTTCTGGTATTCTACAAGGGACTGTTCCAAGAGGAACTGGAAGCTGCTAGGGCAATTTAGGACTAATTTTGCAACATTTTCACTGTATTCTGTTGGTCAAAGCAGTCACACAGCCCATCAGATTAAAAAAGGTGAAGAAATAAACTCCAGCTCTTGGGAGTAATCATTCTCAAGCTCTCAAAGACCTGTTTTATAATGGAGGTTCTTGACTTTAAGTGACAAGGGCCAAGACATTCTAAGCAGGCAAATCCAAGATATTCATCCAGACATTTATTAAGTGCGTATTACATTGTCAAAGAAACAAAAGTGATTAACACAAATTCTGCTTTCAAAAAGCTTACAATATAGTCAAAGAGATAGCCATAGATATGATATAAAAAACTCTAAGGTAAATGCTGTTTAATGTTATAAAACAAAGATTTGTGAGAACAGAGAGAAAACAATTTTGACTGAGGGCAAAAAAAAATTTTAATTTCACCTAAGTCAGACTGGTTGAATTTAGGGAAAATAAGCAGAACATGAAAACAAACACCTGATTTAGCATGTCTGAGAAACACTGTAAGTCTTGTGTGGCTAGAACACAGGATAAAGAGAGTAATAGGATCACATGTATCATGGTAACTTTGGCTTTATTTTGTAGGTGCTAGAAATTACAGATTACTAAACTAGGAAAATAAAGTTGTTTGTAGATTAGATATAGATTAGATCTATAGGTTAGGTAAAAAGCTGACAGCACAGTCCAGGATATGGAAGTAGGGGGTTGAAAATACTGTAGAGGAGATTAGCTAAGAGGCTCCTATAATAATCCAGGTAAGAAATTAAGTTGGCCAGAAACCCCAAATATATATTCAGAGGTTAACTGGTTGGGAAAATTCTCAACTGAATATAAACAAGCCAAGTAAATATCTTAAATATTTATAATTTATTAAGTTTAAAGAAATACAACTAGTCTAAATTATTCCTGAGTAAACTGTAACTTTAAACAACTAGAAAATTAAATATATATAGTTAAATACTGAGTTGGAATATTTTATGACTTATAAAGGTTTCATCTATATTATTTCTTTTAAAAAAAGTACATTATGTTAACTCTATCAACTATCTGCACATAATTTAAGATTTTAAGTTTTTCCACCCATGCTCAAAATAAGGACACCTCTAATCAACATTTTATAAATAGCTGACGCATTTTCATATAACACCAATTAATTTTATTAGCCTGAAGACACTAAGTGAAACATGGCCAAAAATAATCACCGTGCATTTACAAAACAATTAGTATATTATTTGCTGTGCAGTCAACTATTTATTGAGCACCTCCTATTTTACAGGACCAAAAACATGTTTTGTTACTTTATGGAATTCTCAAAATCATCCTTCAAAATAGGTAACATTATTTTCTAGATGAGATGAGAAAACTAATAATCAGAGTGACATAAACTTGCTCAACAATGTAAACAACATATTTAATTAACTACCAATTTTAAGGGATGATCTATTTTTCACATTTCTGTTGTCACCACTGTCTTCACTTTTGTGCTTTTCTTAACTCTGTATGAATATAAGCAGTATTTTTATTTACATGACCATGACTTCTCTTTCCTACTAGTGTTCCTAAAGTCATCACCACATATCTGTAACTTCTTGCTTATGAACCTAATATATGTTTAAGTGGGAATACATAGTATTAAGTATTACATATCATTCTGGAATTTAAAAATGACACAAGCACACATTTTAAAAGACTATACATATTAAACAGACACAAACATGATTTCTAAAATATAACAGTATATATTTTTAAAAATAAACCTCATTAAAATTTTTGGTTTATAAATTATAACCTTAAATACAGGATGTTAGGCTTAAATGACTGCATTGTGATCATCTGCCACATATAAAGTACTGAGTTTAAAGTACTCTCCTAAGAATTGGGCTAATGGGTGGCTCCTTATTTTAGTTAAAACTGTAATAAAATTATAAAAGTATTTTCTTTTATTACAGATTAACTACAGCCAACAGGTCAAACAACAATTTAATACTGAGGGTATCCCAATAGCTAATAATACCAAATTCTAGCCAACATCTAATATTACATAAGTATAGATTACCTTATAGAAAAGTTGTTCTACTAAAATAACTAGAAAGGGAAGGAACTATAAAGAAACAAATTACATTACAGATGTAGTAATTGCCCTTATTTTGATTAAAGATTGAAGCTCCATCATGGTAAGTAATTTACCCAAGTCATTTGCCAATGGTAACTGGGACTGATAACTGAGCTTAACTTCTATTCTGGGTTCTTTTTACCATATCTGTAAAAAGCATCTCTCACTTTATGACTTAATATTATTTATTTACTATATTTTAACTTTAATTTGGAAAATTACCAAGTAATGAAACTTTTTTCTCTATAGCCCAACAACTCTAAGTTTTCTTCAAAAATGAGCATTACAAGAACAGAATGCAGTTCATAACATTAGAATATTTTCTTAGCTTCGTTAAAATGAGAACTTCATAACGGGAGAAAGTTCACATTACATATAATTTGTTTTGGCTGATGAAAGCTTATATAGTCATTGCTTTAAAAGCTCCTTACTTTATATCATAGTAACTTCATATGTTGTGAAATGGTTTTCTATAATCTTGACATTTTCTTCAGATAGCCAATTTTCCTGTTTTATCTGCCTTATAAGAGCTTCCAAAGACTTCAATCTTCCTAGAGTTTGTTGCTCTTGTAGCTCAAGAAGAGTTATCTTTGAATGTAGTTTAGAGACTTTCTGCCAAAGATGTTCCCTATTGATATCTTGTCTGCAGTAAGAATGTTCAATTTGTAAAACTTCTGTCTCATAATCTACATCCTTATATAAGGAATCTTCAACATCCATGTCTTCCATTCCCATGGTTTCTTTTTGTGCAGGCTTTGAAGAATTAATTGTAGGTTTTGAATTTTCTGTGGGTACGAATATGGCAATAACAGACTCTTTATTTGTATTTAATTCTTCAACTGTTTGAGTAATTGTGCTCAGTAAGAATGGATTTTCCTGTGATTTAATTTCCATGGAATTGTTTGTAAAGTTTGGATTAGCAAGATGATTGGTAGTTATTTCAAGCACTTCTTGGGTTTCCAAAGACTGATGAATACCTTCTGAATTGGAAGTTGTCAAAGTAATAGTTGTAGAATTTAGATTATCAAAAGATGCATGAAAACCACTTATACTTATGTCTTGGTTAACTGATGTTTCCAAGGCAGATTCTAGTTTTCCAATATCTTGTTTAATTAGATTAAGAGTTATTATGTTATTTTGTATATTTCCTATTTTTGGAACTGGCGGCCTCACCAAGGCAGATGAATCAAGTAATTCTGTATTCTCAGGGAGGACTTCTGTGTTAGGTGTATTTTTCTTTGGCTCATTTGATGAAAATGATTCTTCTGACTTGGCTTTTAGACACACTTTTTTCTCAACATCTAATTTTTTCTTCTGAGAGTTTTTTTTGGAAAGGTCTTTTTCCTGGAAAATAATATTTTCAAATTCTAAAAAAGATATTCTTACTGAGTTTATCTTCTTATTAGTTAGCACTGAATATTTAATTCCAAGTTTGAGCAGTATACTAGCCAAGCAAATTTATTTAGCTAAAAAATGTTCTAAATTATAGCAAATACAACTTAGTGGTTCTGAAAAATCATTAAGCATATTCAACATATGATAGAAACATTTCAAATCATTCAAAAAGCCAGTAAAAAATCTTGGGTTATGAACTTATGTTAATAATGATTAATGTATGCATTGTTTTTTGTTGCTTACACTATGCTTCACGATGTTTAAGTTTTTAAAAAGTTGTCACACTTTTTTTAAAGGATAATTTTCCTTTTTTTCAAGTATCTGTGTTCCCAGCAGTTATCTTTCCCTCTCACTTCCTCTACCAGATTATGTGCCACCTGCAAACTACCACCTTCCTCCACATCATTCCCCTCTCCCATATACCCTGCCTCCAATACCTGATTGTCTTCAGGCAATGAAAATATTGTTGGAATTGCAGTCTGTTTCAAATATCGAATACCCCATCTGATGTCAAGAGAGTCAGGAGTAAAATGGTCACTACACAGGAACTGGTATTTACTGGGAACCCATGAATCTCGTTTCATATTCTTTAACCATTTTTCAAGTCTTTCTTTGTCATGTAGAGGAAACCTGAAATTAAAAAAGGAAAGCTTTGCTATATTTTTATAATTCTGCCAGATTCCAGACCTGCCACTTATGCATCAAGTGCTGCAAAGCAAGGCAACCATCTCTACCATGTGAGAGCACCTTCACGACAATTACTATCGTATCCCTCTGTAGTGGACTAAGATATAGGATGTGTAGCCAAAGCTTTTGAGAAGAAAGGCTGGTAAAACAAAACTCAGAGTTCCTTCAAGTAGAATATATATGTTCCAACAAAGGATAAAATCTATTCACATTTTCTGTGGATGATGTTTTATTTTCATTTTCTTACGTAGTTTGCCTAGAACTAGGAAAGAGATTTGTACATACTAAAAAGTCCTATTTAAATGTATTTCATATTAATACTAGAAGTCAAATGATTTGTCTATAATTCACAGAAATATTAAACATTAGCCTCTTATATACATTAATATTTTTAAAATTAGAATCTGAGCAAATGATTTAGCTGACAATAAAATGAATACCAATGAATACAACTACTATTCCATTCTCTCTACCAGAACCACCCTCAATTCTACCCATACATAATTCAGTCCAAGATTTTGAAATTTCTATAACTAATACACTGGGAACTCTAAAATTTAACTTCCAAGAAAAATGACACAAGAGCATGTTAAAAAGGACACTCAGATGTTTTATAATATGAAACACATTTAACAGAAAAGATAAAAGCCAGACAGCTCTTTCTTTATATGTGCTCTTCCACTAGTGACAATAGGCTTAGAGTTGACTCTAACACACTGCAATGTGGTTTATAGGCAAAACTGGACAAAGGGTAGAATTTAACAGAAGACTTTTTCTACCAGTCTTAAAGGTTTGGATGAAACTGTATTAAACAACAGTTAACAGTAATTTATACTTCTTTCAATGAATTTACAAGAACACAGTCCAAGAGTATATTATACTCTTTTTGGTGTACCTAAATTCTGCTGGCCACAAATATGTTCATACCTTCTCTGTTATATCTAAAATGAGAATACCTCTTACAGTAGTTTTTTAATGTAATTCCATGTATAAGGGTGCTCTTTGAAAATTATTTCTTATGGTACTGTATACTAAGTTATGAACGAACAATAAAACCATTTTGTATCTACCCTTATTTGGTAAATGAACTGCAAGGCTTTCTCAACAGGTAGACCTCCAATAAATCTCCCAAAACATGTTTCCTAAATGACTTAGTATCTTGATATTAATTCATTTGTTTCACTGATATTTGTGCTTCACTCTTATTAATTCCCAAAAAAAAACCAAAACAATCACACTAAAAAGGTGAACACAATCATGATTAGCCTTTTTATTTATGGCTACATAACAATTTGCTTATAGTATAAGCAAACACAGGACTTTGTTTTTATAAGACTTTGCATCTTTGATCTTAAGTGTAACTTCCTTTCTTGTAACGTCTTTACCAGATTTGGTATCAAGGTTATGTTAACCTAATAAAATGAGTTGGGGAGGAAAAAAAGATTCATAGTATAAATTGGACACCATTTGTATATATTAACTAAATTCTCAATATAAATTTATAGTACAATTTGCTATAGTGTAGCATTAACAAATTGAATTCTTCAAGTTTTGTGCTATTAGGGGAATAAAACTAAATTTTTATTTGCACATTATACATTGAATTTTAAAAACTCAAAATTCCATTTTCAGTAAATTCGTATTTTAAGAAAAAAAAGTCTTTAAAATTGACATCCTCTGGCATTATTTTTCCCTCCTTAAAAATATTAACTATGCAGGCAAAGATTAATTTCAAGAATTGAGAGTATGGGGTTATACCTCCAAAATCAAAGGCCAAATAAACCTACAAAATATGGGGCTAAATCCTAAATTTGCTACAAGCCTTCTCAGAACTTGAGCTATTAATACACCAGCATTACCCCCATCCATTGGCCATAAATTGGATTTTTTCCCCAAGAAACCTCTGTATATTGGCTTCAAGAGGAAACAATTCTAGAAATACTGCCATATGTGCATTATTTGGGGTTATCAGTTTTTTTCCAGTAGTTAAGATAATGAAAAGCAGCTGAGTCATTAGTGAACACAGAGCTTCAGGGCTAAAGTAGAATAGGCTTCAGAAAATGGGAGAAAATTCAAAGAAAGTAAAAGACAACGAGGTTAGAACTAAATGAATTATTTTAGAGTTTAAGAGAAAAATAAATAGAATATTCTAAATATGCTGATTTTCATATATATTAAGCACATAGTGAGAGCCAAATGCTGTTTTACCTCTATATACACTAACTGTGAGTTAGGTACTATTAATATCTCCACTTTACAGATGGGAAATCGTAGGCATAGAGAGTCTAAACAGTTTGCATGTCATTCATCTACAAAGTAGTGGAACTAGGATTTGCCTGGCCTCTAAATTACTATACACTATTGTTTCCCTGTTCTTCTGGATAAAAATGAGTACTTCCACGGTTTCACGGAAATATTTTGTGGCACTAGTAATTCGGAATAACACCCTGTTCTCTGTATGAATTAAGAATCCAGAGAGACCTGAGTATGACACAGGTTACAATTCTGGGTCTGGTTATGTTTTGGCCACAAAACTTTCAAGGTTAGTTATCTACTTTCCGAAAGTCTTCAGTTTCTTCAGGATAAAATGAAAATGTGTATCATCTATGCCACCTAACTCAGGAGGTTTAAGTTAACTTCGCACCTTCTCTCTTGGCAGGTCTAAAGCATGTGTACCTTAAAGTGGTAGTTGACGGTCAGAAAAATGAGGTCAAGTGAGGGGGAAAAGCTCCGAAAACCATGGAGCACCAGGCAAGCTTCACTTGCCTGCGCTAGCAACACCCGAAGAGGCTCTTGGGCCTCACCACGAGCCGACACGTCCTCGGCTCAGGAAGGACATTTCTCAGTAAACTAAACTCTACCAGATTACGTTCATCAACCCTTCAGGGGCTCCTCCCGCGCAGTGACGGCCCACGCCTGCAGAACTGAGAGCGAAAGGTTTATCGCAAAGACACGCCAAATCCCGGGCCTGAACGTCACCCGACCGCGGCTCAGGCAACGGCTGACGCGTCTGCTCCAGCGACAACTTACGGGTAAAAACTCAGCTTCCGATCTTTATTGTTTCGTCCTCGGCGGTTCTTACAGCAAATTGCTGCGCAATAGCGGGGCATCGTTCAGGGGAAGCCACCTCAGAGCCGGGCAGGCGAAAGGCAAAGACGACCTTCCTCGCTGAGGTGGGACCGCAGGTACAGGCCGCCAGAGCCACCGCGCCTGCGCCGGCATGGCCCGAACCGGAAGACTTCGCCACCATCGACTCACTTCCGCTTCGGCGGCCTTTAGCAACACATTTTCGGGGGGTTGGGGCCGGAAGTGACGCACAGTGTGATCGGCGACAACAGTTTTCCACGTGCGCGTAGGCGCCAGGGTCAGGTGGAGAGGCAGGAGCCAATAGAGAAGCGTTTCGTGTAGGTCTTTTTCTGAGGTGGCGGCGCCTGCAGCGGCGTTTCGCCAGTGGGGAGCGGGGTGAGAGGGGACGCGGCGTCTGCAGCGGCGGCAGGGGCGGGAGGTCAGTGTCCGAGCCGCGGTGGGACGCGCGCCGGCTGCCGGAGGCCGCGGTGAGGGGCCGAACCTGAGTGGCTGTGTGGAGCCGGTCATCAGCCTCGCCAGCCCCTCGGCTCTGTGGAGGAACAGCAGCGGTGTGTGGGTGCGGATGAGGGGCGAGGGCGGGGGTTAGAGCGTCCCCGTGGCCTTGGCCGGTCGTTGCGGCATGACTTGGACTTGGTGTCCGCTGTGGTAGTCTCAAGGCTTCGGGCTGCCTGATGTTTTTGAGGAAGGGTATAGGGAAAATGCGTGTGATATTTTGGGTTGTACGGCTGGCTTTCTCCGACACCGACAGCTCTTCCAGTAGCTGGACCCGGGCGCGGACAGCGCCGATGGCGGCGCCTTGACGGACAGGGCGTCAACTGTCTGTCGCCTTTGGGAGGAAGCTGGACCTCCAACCCGAAGGGCCACCCGCAGTGGGGAGTAAGGCCCACGCTGCTTTCCGGTGGGACCCTCTTGGGAATGAGAAAGTCAGTATAGTACAAAAGTCATTCTACTAAAAACGGGTCAGATATTAAACCTGAAACTTTGGAGTAACGTTTACTAAACGATGAGGCGACTCCCTGTCAGTTTTAGACCCGTCCTTTGACTAGGGAACAACCTGCAGTCGTTGGGGTGTTAACAGTGCGCGCTTGGTTTGCGTTCCTTAAATGAAAGGTTGTATTTTATCCTTGGTACCCGTGACTATGAGTAACTCTGGAAAGAAATAATCTATCTGCTAATTACGCTCAGGAAAAGGCCACAGGAGAGGAAGGCAGGTAGTTTCCACAGACCATAGTGTCTTTCGTCAGCCTTGTTATGTCATCATAGGTTACTAAGGACTCTTTTGGTACAGTGTTCAAAGATCACTTCTCTTTGAATCCCAGGTTATTAAATCTATACTATCAAGAATTCTAAGTTGAATTCTAAGTTAAAACTTATTTAAGGTCGGAGAAATATTTTAATGACAAATTAAGTTTGAAAATAAGAATTTAACTTACCTAAACAAACAGAAAGTTCATTTTTTCTGGCAGCCTTAACAGAAATCTTTTATTAAGAGTTTTTAACAAGTTCTTTACCCATGTTTTTTGGTTAAATATTTGGGATCTTCTAATTTTAAAAAATGATTACATTCTGTTGTGTTGCTCTGTCAATATTATTGTGATACTGAGGTTCTCTAGTAGTCCTTGGCTTACCTTGCTGAAATGAAATTGTGGAATTTTGTGTCTTGCTGAATATTGTCTACTCTTTATGTGACCACAGCATAAGTGGAAAGGCAAAGCCAAGAAAGATTTTTCTCAACTTGGTTGAATTATATTTGCTCTTAAGAAGGTTTCAACCAATTTAGGAAAATAAAATTTAATGGGAATAGTACAAGATACTCTAAGTTTAACGTATTGGTGCTGCATTAAGTATACCTTGTATCTTAAAAGTTCATTGAGTTTCTTTTAAAACAAATGTGTTTTAAAGACCAGCTCCATGGATACAATTTATTTTCTCTTCTTTTTTAGGATATTAGAAATGGCTACTCCCCAATCAGTGTTCATCTTTGCAATTTGCATTTTAATGATAACAGAATTAATTTTGGCATCAAAAAGTTACTATGATATCTTGGGTGTGCCAAAATCGGCATCAGAACGCCAAATAAAAAAAGCCTTTCACAAGCTGGCCATGAAGTATCATCCTGACAAAAATAAGAGCCCTGATGCTGAAGCAAAATTCAGAGAGATTGCAGAAGGTAAATTAATAACTATCTCTGAGGTCTCTTGGGTATTAACTAATAAAGGAATGGTAGCTAAATGTGTATATATTTGAGGGTTTTATGGAGGTGGGAGGGGGAGTGGGATCCACATTTAGATGCAGTGAGATTTTCAAGATTATTTTCTTATAACTGATTCTTTAACTCAAATGGGCAGATGAATGATAGTATATATTTTTATTCGCATAAAGATCTAAAAATGTTGAAAATGTATTATTTCATTCTTTTATTATTTATACAGCTGCTGCTTATTTTTTTTCTGTCCGAGGGAATTTTAGGTACACAAAACTCAAAACTAACTTATGAAACAGTTCTTACTAAGTATAGAAATTAAATATAAAAATATTAAGTATACATAAAATTTAAATAGACTTAAAATACCGTTTTTTCTTTTCTTCTTCACTTGATCTGTATTTTAAAGGCACATTTACCTTCAAAGGAAAAGTATGAAAGAGATTTTGATACAAGACTAGTTCTAAAACAAATTGCACCTTCTGAGCATTGGTAGTTAATGGTGGGTGGAGGTAACTTAGTAAGGAGTTAAACATTTTCTTCAACTGGTAAGGAAGTGAAAATTCTGAATTCTTCTTAATTGGTTATTCTTGACCATTAAGTTTTTCAGTACAAGTAATGGTTTTACCCAAGTAATGTGAAGAATAGCTCTGTAATTGTGGCCCACGTGTATGTTTTAAATATTTGTTTAACAACTATTTATTGGATATTTACTAGGGGTGGCATTGTGCTAACTGCTGATAGTATGCGGTGATCAAGACAAAGTTTCTGCCTTTTGTAACTTAAAACTGAACTTTATTCTTAGTTTTTGTAGTGTTTTGGTTTTACTTGTGATGTGAAATCCTTTTCTAAAATAGAAGGTTGAATTCACTTATTTGAAGAAGTTTAGTTATATATAATTTAGATTTCCTTCATATACTAAAGTATTTTTATTTCTTTCAGCATATGAAACACTATCAGATGCTAATAGGCGAAAAGAATATGACACACTTGGACACAGTGCTTTTACTAATGGTAAAGGACAAAGAGGTAGTGGAAGTCCTTTTGAGCAGTCATTTAACTTCAATTTTGATGACTTGTTTAAAGACTTTGGGTTTTTTGGTCAAAACCAAAACACTCGGTCTAAGAAGCATTTCGAAAATCACTTCCAGACACGCCAGGATGGTTCCAGTAGACAAAGGCATCATTTCCAGGAGTTTTCTTTTGGAGGTGGACTGTTTGATGACATGTTTGAAGATATGGAGAAAATGTTTTCTTTTAGTGGTTTTGACACTAACAATCGGCACACAGTACAGACCGAAAATAGATTCCATGGATCTAGCAAGCACTGCAGGACTGTCACTCAAAGAAGAGGAAATATGGTTACTACATACACTGACTGTTCAGGACAGTAGTTCATTCCTTTTTTTGTTCTCACTAAACCCAGCTAGTTGACTCTTCTTTAATATCTTTGATGCAAAACAATTTTCTGTGAACTTTTTTGACAAGTGCATGATTTCACTTGATACAGCTATTGAATATATTTAAATTGTTTTCAACAAATTCAGCAACAGTAGAGAAATAGCTAGTTATTAATTTCCCTGATTAGGAAAGGTTCTTTAAAATAGATATTATAATTCTGACCTTTTATTTCTGCTTGCCCTTGGGCTTAGTAACAATGGCCAGTTTTATTACCCAGAAAAGATTGAGTTTGCCTGATAAATATGTAAAGGTTAAGCTTTAAAAGTCATTGTAGACTAAAGTAGTGTGAATTTGAATAATTTTTGCAGTGAAACCTTTATTAAATTAAAATTGCATGCTCTGTAGCATCTCTGTCTTGGGTTGCTAAATGTATGTGAAACTATATAATTGAGTCATTCAGCAAAGGATAGCAATATCTTGGTTAATTTCCACTGAAAACTTCAGAAAGGTATGGTTTAATATTTACCAGAGAAACTATGCCTTTCTGCAGTAGAATTGGAGAAAAGGAAATGATTATGTTGCTTATCGCCATTTAGGCTGAAAGAAAGTTGAAAACTTGACAAAATATTGGCAAGTGATATGTGTTTGGTTCCTGGTAAATAATTTTCTGGTGTTGAAGTCATAGCTTCTTTACACATCTTTTCACATTTCTTTCTTAGTTGTTGGTACTCTAGGTCTTCATATGGATTTATGTATTATATGTGGTTCCTCCTCTTTGCACTCATCTTTAGAGATTGACTAATACCTCATTCTGTTTGTAAAAACAGCCAGTAATTTCTGTGCAACCTTACGTGCAATATTTTTAAATCCTAAGAAATGTGTGCTTTTTTTTTTTCAGATAGACTTCTTTAGTTCTGCACTTTTCCACATTATACTCCACGAGTATTAATCCTATGGATACATATTAAAACTAGTGAATGTCTCATACAACATTGCGTGTGAGTGATAAAAATACACTATTTACAATATGTGGTGTTCTCTGTTGTCACTTCATTGTTAAACATTTATTCTACAAATCTGGACATAGGGTGTGTAAATTGATAATAGACCATATTAAGAAGTTACTTTTGACTAATCTGAAAACCCTAATAGGACCCTGTTTCATTGCCATTTGGTAATTTCTCTTATCATTCCCCCATCCCTCATAAATTTTGGTAGCTTGAAGATTTTTTAATTATAATTTTCATGTATTTGCTTGCTAGGAGCAAGTATTCTTGCCATTGGTTTTTTTCCTCTTTAGGCCTGGCTGAGAAAAAGCAGAGACTGCATAAAGCTGTATTTGTTATAATATCTTTAATTTGAAAATTGTGAAAAAAATGAATTTATTTTATTTATATATCTTAGTTATTTCTGGAAAGTTACACCTACAACTTTTGTTTGATAATTAGAAAATACTTTGAATTTTGGTCTGAAGGCTATATCTGTAGCTTGTCAAACAGAAACAAATGAGGAGAAAAAAGGCCATTTTAAAATCAGGATTAACGTTAAAGATTATTTTTATATCAGCATCTTTCCCGTTTTTCTCCAGGGTCTGATTCTTTTCCTTGTCTTTCCCATTCTGAACATTTATTTGAGCCACTTTTTTTTTTTAACCTCCCTTTTGGCTCTTTGGCATAATTTTTGCAAGGAAAAATGAAACATTAATCATAAATAGGCAAAATACAAGCCAAATATCAAGAGATATTTAGATTACCTAAATCTAGATGTGTGTGTGTGTGAGTAGTTTGATACATAAGCAACTGGAAATTAGATCAGTAATCAACATTAAAGTTTCCTCAATAACTTAAAACTTTAAACAATTTTTTTTCTTTATTGTACAGATTTTATAGGTAGAAAATGAAAAACTAAGAAATGTCTACACTACAAATCAGCACATGAAATCTATCAATCTTCCTTTTGGGAAGAAAAATGACTTAATCTTTTTCTTAAACTATTTTCATGTTTTCTGGATTGAACACGTCTTGAATTGGGGGCACACAGTAGTAGGCGTGAGATTCTTTTGATGCTCCATAATTGGCATAATTTACTCCTGATTTGATGGGTGACTGTAGGCAGTTTTGTGTTAGGGGTTTTAGGTCTTCTCTGAGAGTTTTGTGAGAATTCAGGTTGCCTGAGGTCAAACATATATACATTGGGAACCCCTGCCCTTTTGCCCTTTTGTTTTCCCTTAAGGTAAACTGGTATTGGCAAAACAGTTTTTTCTTCAGGACAAGGACTAAGAATAACTTCAAAGAGATTATCCCTGGGGAGGCTCACCAGTGAGGGTATTGGGGTGCCAATCAAAAGGAAGAGCAAAAATGAAGTCAATTTTCACTTGGGGATGGAGAGAGTGCTGGTATGTAATGGCAGCACTCCACTTCCAGAGTATCCTTACTTGAAAGCATCCTTACTTGAAATTTGTGTGTGGTATGGAGCAGGTGGGAAAGTAGAGAGTTCTCGGACTGCAGAGAAATAGAGCTCAGAGTGGGTTTTGCTCGTAGCAACTGGGGAGAAAAGACTTGGGCGGAGTACATGCCAGGCCAGAGGGGATTGACAGAGGCTGGCCTGACTAGCGAATTCAGCAGGCTGTGAGCTACCATGGGAAACAATAGCTTCTGCGTGACCACAGTAGGGAACAATAACCCTGCATGACCACCTACAGGGCCCTGCTGGTTGAAATGTCCTGACAACTGACCGAACCAAAACTCTTTATCAAAAAGGAGATTTAATGCAGGTATACATAACTTCTGAGGAAACTGCTTTTCTCTGAAGTTTTCTCTCTGTGCAGTTTGATATAGTCCTTCATAAGTACATACAGATATCCAAGGAATATCAGACATTTAAGGAAAACCAGTATCCAGGAAGAGAAATACCAATACCCAACCCTGACAGAAAGCAATGTATTTCATAGACTAGAAAATTTAAAATTTTAGTATTACCAGACTGAGATAATCTTGCATGAATAAATCAGGCACAGGTCCTCGTCTTACTTAATCTACTTACTTCACATTTCCTTCCATGTGATGATGTCAGGCTGGATGAAGCAATATGAATACACATTTCATTTATACTTAACATCAAATACAACCAAAGTCATTGGAAGATGGAGCAGCATGTGCATTCCCTACCATGCAGGCATTACTTAGACTCTCATCTCAAAATTCAGATTCTTCCTCTATCTCAGCTTTGTTACTCAAACTCCATCCCTGTGGGTAAAATTGCAATATTTCCAGAATATCTCGACTGGCCTTTGTGCATCTCCATATAAATAGGTGTTTCCAAGAGGTGGAGAGTAGTCTATCTCTTTTATCAACAGGTAATTACAGGGGAGAGCTAGGGCTTTTCTAGACTGGAGAGGCCTCCTTTTGCAGCTGGGTTTGAGAGACACAGGCGAGCAGAAGTGGATAACTGCTTGAAGGCAATGAACAGGTTTCTCCCAATTTATTTCTCCCTTTGACTGACTTCAGTTTCAAAGGTAATTTGCCCTGGGCGGGGAAAATATTTCCCCCTAGAATTACAATCCCCAGCTTCTCTCCAGCCCTTGCCCTATGATGGAACTGCCTAGTGAAGAAGAGCAAGAGTTGTCATCCCAAAAATGTGCCCCTTACACATAAAATATGCCTACTTACTGTTATTTTGTGCTGATCATTATTTTCTTAAATGTAGGCACAGTAAATGCTCTGAAAACCAAGTAGATGTTACCCTTTTGTAAGAGATTTATATTTATACAGGAAATCTATATTTGTAAGGGTGTTACCTTCTATACGAGGAAGAGGGGGATGACTAAATCTCTAGAAAGCCTTATCAATGGAGAAGGCTTGGACTTAAACCTGCTTAAGAACCGCGCTTGTTTGTTTTGCCTGAAATTCTCCCCAAACTGGCTCTCACCCAGCCCAACACCTTCTTTTGTTGTTCATTGGAGATAATATTTAAGGTGGTGGCTTGGGCATTTTAGGAGAATTGCTCTGTTCTCCTGGGTATCTCTCATTTATACAAGAGGTATACATGTTATTAAGCCTCTCTTTGTTTTTCTCCTGTTAATCTGTGTTTTATTACAGTGGCCTGGGAAAGGGGCATATCTCAGTCAAGCACCTAGAAAGGTAGAAGTAAAATTCTTTTTATTCCTTGATACTAGGTCATTTGCTGTGCATTCTAATTTATTGTTATTCACCATAATCATTCATAAAGGGTGCAGGTGCTTATGTTTCTGTGGAAAGAGACAGGCAATCATCATAATAAGTAAATTACTATGTAAAGTGATAAACTCTACAGAAAAAATGTAGCACAAGGGAGGGATATGGAGAAGTCCAGCAGGTCAAGGGTGTGTTGCAATTTTCAACAGGATGTTCAGTGTAGACCTCACTGAGAAGGTGAATTTACACAGACTTGAGTTCTTTGCATGTTTCTGTCAGTGGTGTGGATGTGCCTGATTGGGCAGGTTTAGGAGAGAATAGCAGCAAAATGGAGGACTTCTATACAAATCATTTGGAAGAGAATTTATAGTGAATACATTTCTGGACAGGATTTTTAACATGGATATTTTTAGTAGAGTTTCAATCATGACTCCATGTAGCGAATAGCTTTTCCTTCAGAATGGTGATCTATAGGACTTTCATAAGTATGCTGTGAGAAGAAATCATGTTCAAATACATTTGTGAAATCAAGACTAAGATGAAAACCTTGCTAAATATGTTTCTTTATAGGTGGGTGTGATACTGTGATTTATAAGAAATATATTTGGTAATTCAGATGGTCAAAGCATGTTTTTCAAGTATATTTGGACTTCATAGTTCCTGGCTTTCCATAGTTCTGGAATGCTTTCAAAAAACTCCTTCCCATTTTACTGGCCAGAAATATTCCATACTGTTGCATATTCATGCCTAAACCAGTCATGAACAAGGGGAATATAACCGCCGTCAATGGTTTGGGCTAGTTGAGACCACGCAGTGGGATAGGGGTCTGGGGCTATCCCTAAAACTCATGGTCTCCTGGTAAAGTGTTGATGACTATGGAAAAAAGTGCTGTATTAGAGATGATTAAGAGGATGGAGGGGAAGGTTGTGTGCACTACACACTATTGAATATTAAAACTTGAAAAAAGATTCCAGTGGTCTTGAACACTTTTACTTCCTTTATGATGTATTCTTTATCATTAGATATTTTTAAAGAGGATTAGGCTCTTCCCTTTGTATCCCCAAATGGTGGTTGCATTTTTGTTTGAGTTAGGAACCAACCTCACCTTAAATACTGTGGAATCTTGGCATTTAGGACAGATTCCAAAGTTCTATTATGATTTTTTACTTTCCTGAAGTACAAAATTGAATTCCATGCCTTACTAGTCTACCATTCAGGATATAGTCATTTATGTAGTAAGTAGGCCCAGACACCTATTCAACATCTACATATCAAAATATCTTTGAAGAGTTTGTATTCATCATTATGCAGGCATTTTAAGAGGGAAATTATTTGCTAAATGGTGTTCACTAAATTAGAGGTAAAAGTCTCTTCTGTCAAAATCAAGGCTATTCTTTACATGAAGATGATCGCTACCATGGCCCGTTTATGTGATCAAATCTTTGCCAGCCACCCTTATCTGTTCTGCTCCAGCTGGCCTCTGTCAGACCTGTTTTCCTCATTTATTTGAATACTGGTTTGAATTTTTATCTACTGGCTTGTAGGGAGTCAAATTTGCACCTACGTTATTTCCCTTAGCCTTAGTCCCGTCAGCTTCGTAGTTTTCATTTTCTCGCTCCCCCTCCCCCACCCCAGTCTATGCTGCTGAGGTCCCAAGGATGCCACGTGGGAGTGTTTTGGATTATGACACATTATGTACTTATCACTCACAGAATTAACAGGTTAAGTCAGTTTTGCAAACCCATTCAGCAATTCAAATTTTAAACTTCATTTCCTTTTTATAAACAATCACTTGAAGAAGCATTACATGATTCATTACATATATTAGGGAAAAGTCATTAAAATAAAAATCTCTG